AAATTCAATTTGGATTGCATAACATAAATTATAAGATGAGAGCCCTTAAACGCTTAGGTGGGTCTGTGATATGATAATTCATGTTTCGCGATTCAATGATATCAAAATGCAAAAGACCAAAGGGCATCAAATTGCAAAACACCAAAGTTATGTTTGATTGAAATAATAGGTATTCCTTACTCAAACTATGAATATGAAGGTAAAATTGAAAAGTTTTTAAAGCTAAAAATATGTATTCCTTAATATTATAAATTTTAATAAATTAAGAGATGATTAAGGAATACGTATTCTTTGGAATGTGGGGAATACACATTTCTCAATCATATCTTAATTTAGTAGAAATATACTAATGATCATTTTTTAATTCAAAATTGGTCTCAAATTAATCTCACTTAAACCTAACTTAGGCTATTATTACAATGTTTTTAAAAAAATTAATAAATAATCTTTTTTATTGAAAATAAGATTATGAAATCGAGTCACATCATATACAGATAGATAAAATGAGATAAGAGATGAAAAAAAATAGTGTTATAGAGATAACTTTTTTATATCACCTTTTAATATAACTTTCATATGTCATTAATGAGTAGATACATTCAATATCACAAGACCCATTGAATAAAAAAATCATGGAAATAACACGTTAAATTGTATAAAAAAGTAGGACAAAAAAGTTACCTCAAAATCATTTTTTGATAAAAAAATATTATTTTTTATTGTGCAACCAAAATAAATAATAATAATTTCTTTTTTGTATGGACAATCTAGTATTCGAAAGCTCACTATGCCACCAATTAATCCGGACTCGAGTCGGGCAAAACCCAACGGACTGCAAAACTCTCCCTTATAAGTTTTAATAGAACTACATTTTCAAAATTTAAAATCAAAATCTAGTTAAGATAAAAAATCCCAACCACTCGCTCATTAGTATAAATAATAATAATAATAACAGCTCAAGTTAGCTCCAAATCCCAAGGCTAAAGCTACTTTATTTCCAAATAAAAGTAAATTAAACTAAGTTAATTGGTGGGAAAAGCCCACCATAATATTTTGATTTTTGAGTCGCCTATGTCTAACACCAAGAAAAAACGCCAAAGATATGCCAATTAGGGCCTGTTTGATTGGATAAGATTTATGGGATTGCGCTCAGATCGTTGCAAGTGAGATTATGTTACTTATGATTTGTATCCAAATAATTTTAGAAAGTTATTTTACCCTTGAAACTTTATCCGTCTTTGTCCTGAAATATATTTTGGATGAAAAGCCCCAGAAAAAAATCTGCTCGAGTAAGTGGTTGGATGAGGGGGAATAAAATGCCAAGACTGCCCTTTGAATCCTTTGGATAAAAGACTCAAAATGACAAAAATGGTGCTGCCACAATCTTGAGAAAATTTGATAATCGACTAACTTTTAGTTATAATAGCTTATTTTTTTTTATTGATAATTAACTATTTAATATAGTACCAAAAAAATTTAATTATTTAATATT